ATATATATATATATATATTCTTCGTGACTACTATTACTCATAGCCTTGGTACAGGAATCGCAATAAATAAAAAAAGAAGAAAGAAAATAAAAAGAAGCTCTTATCTGATCTCATCTTATCTCATCATGCAGTCCGCCTCCTCCGCCTCCACCACCACATTATCGTTTGCGGATAAAATGCAGCGACTCCTGCAGCGGCGGGCGGAGCAGCAGGAACTCCCGGCGGGTTACATGCGGTGCCCACTCAATCCCGCACATCAAATCCCCATCGCCGCCATCGTCACACATCTCGAGAAGACACATCAACAAGATGTACTCTCACTGAATGCACATGCCATGTATGGGGTGGAGACATTTAATAGAAGACGGAGATTTCTGGAATCGCAATTACATCTACAGGAACGTAAAGAGAAGTCTTATAATAATAGTAATAATAATAATAATAGGAAGAAGAAGAAGAGATGGAATCATTCACATTATCAACAACAAGAAGAAGAAAAAGAAAAAGAAGAAGAAGAGTATTATTATAGAAAACGATCACATCATCATCATCATCATCATCATCATCGTTCGTCTAGTGTGAGTACGAATAGAAGTGAACGTAGTACGAGTAGTCATAGTAGTACCTTGACAACAAGTACCGGCAGTACGAGTATGATGAGTAGATCCAGCAGCAACAGTTCAACTCATTATCACAATTACAATCATAATAATAATAATAATAATAATAATAATAATAATAATAATAATAATAATAATAATAATAATAATAATAAAAGTTATCATTACTCTCGACGTGGACATTGTCAGGATTCCTATTCCGATCCCAACAGTTCACATTCCATCTCCACATCCGCAGGGTCATTACCACGCATTCCACACAAACGACGTGTACGGCCGCGAATATCTTACGAAGCCCAACAACAACAACAACATAAACATCAATATACAGAGATGAACACAACACACATACATCCCAATATCTCTTCACAGAATCTTTATTATGATGTGAAGATGAATATCGCCTCTCAAGATGTGATGGATTGGAATAGAATGTATTTACCGCCTCCTCCTCCTCCTCCTCCTCCTCCTCCTCCTCCACTTTCACTGCCAACAACAACAACAACATTATTATTACCACAAACAAGATTAACGACAATACCACCTTTACCACCTGCAACACCTGAAATTTCACCGGTAATGGAAAGAACAACAGCGACAACAACATTATTAGGGCGGTACACACTTGGACATTCTATTAGTAGTGAACATCTTATGAGTTATTTACTTCAATTTGGTCCACTAACGCATTGTGAGGTACAACCACAGTATGGAACTTTCACAGTTATGTACACAAGAGCGGAGGATGCCTATCAGTGTCTTCGAATGAGTTATCCATTTGTGTTAATAGATGGAGTAACGGTAGAACTACAATCTATATTACCAACTGCGGGTGTTCCTTTAACTGTGGCTGCGGCTTCTTCTTCCTCAACATCATCTACTTTACCAAACAGTGGGATCTCTGTGAATACAATGACATCTTATGGATATTCTATGCAGACACAAACAACATCTATACAATATCCTAATCATCCTAATCATCAGTATAATCATCATCATATTAATAATTATCCCCCATCATCATCACCGACACCACCACCACCGCCGCCGTCAGTACCACCACCATCTACTCATACTATTGTAAAAACAAATAATGTTACTATTCCATCATCATCATCATCAGCAGCAGCAGCAGCAGCTATCGTAACAACCTCATCTTCTTCTTCTTCTTATGCCCATCCATATGGAACGAATGGAGTTTCTGTTATTACGGTTGGTGGAGCTCCAGTGGGTGTTACTATGATGGATGGAAACCGTACGGTTAACAGCAGTATCCCTTCAACGAGGAGTGCTATTGTAAAACCCCCTAAAGGTGTAATGATGGCTGCACTGAAGGGTAAAAAGGATAAAAAGGCAGAAGCTATCGTTGAAGAAGAAATATGGAAAGAATTTTCAAGATTTGGTGCGGTTCTAAATATTATAGTAGCAGGACCACGTGTGCTGGTGGAGTTTGAATCTGAAGGAAGTGTGGAGAAAGCCACTCAAGCACTACATAAGGATGCTGATCTTTTCGTTAACTGTAGTTGTTGTTGTTGTCATTGATGATAATTCACTCTTTTTCGTGTTGGAATGGAAAGAGAATTATATATATATATATATATATATAGAGAGAGAGAGAGATGTGGAGGGATTCAGAAGAATGCAAGATTCTGTTTTTTTTTTTTTTTTTTTGT